GGCTGGTAGGTTGTCTTGCCTCCATGTTTACCACTGTTGCTTAGCGACGGCGGTTGCCGAGATACAGAAACTTTGTGGAGTTATGTTGATGACCTAATGAGTGATATCCCCGAGCCACCCCAAATATTTTCATAGGAAGCTAATTTTAGCTTTCAGAACAATGATGCCAAGTAGCCAAGACCAGTGGTACTCAAGTACTGTACTTAAGTACAATTTGAGGTACTTGTTATTATACTTTTTATACTTACTTTACATCATATAATCCATATTTTTGAGTTGTGACTCCTCACAGAGAAACTGTGTGTCTTAATTTAAACAGTGTGAGACTAAAAGATATAAAAGGTTAAGATGTAAATATAAATGTATGTATCAGAACTTTGTTTATTCTCTATTAATCACCTCACGGCCTCTCAGATTTATCTAGTGACCCTTTGGAGGGGCCGGATCCCTATGTTGGGAACCACTGGACTAAACTAGCAAACTGCATATAAAGTTGTCAAAGTCTATGGAAGCTAATTTCTGCCAATGTTAGAGAAAAAAAGATCTTGTAAGTAGTTAATGTAAAACATTCAAATATTTTAATAACATTAAAATAATAATACTTATTATTAATTCTAAATACTGTTGTTTTAAGAAGTTTTCACATTATTTTGAGATATTATGTCTTTATTGTAACATAATAATTAATTATTTTAAGATAGGCTCCATTATTTGGGGATAATAAGTTATTATTTTTTAGGTATTATATAATTATTTTGAGATACTAAATCACTTTGATAAAGTTTCTCATTATGTGACTTACAGTAGTTTTCTCCATACCAACCTGCAGTGGTCAGATGTCCAGCAGCTCTCATAAAGTTGTTGTTTGTGGGCTTCTAATTAAACCGAAGTGCTTTGTGGGGATGTCGCACTCAACGGGACAAGTGGCACTATGGAGACCTGCGCACAATAAGGGAGAAAAGCGCAAACTTTCCCTTTGATGAGTCCATAAATTAGCATCACAACCGGCGTTCACGTGTCCTACCGGCGTAAAATCCAGCATTTGCAAATAATGACAAGCCAGACCACAATGAAGAACACGGAGGCAAAGAAAGGGGGCACATTTTAACCAGATGCCCAGCAATAAATAACCAACTCAGTGCCCCCCCAGCTGAGAGGAGACATTACCATTTTGAAGTGCCCACTCGGGGGTCCCACGGGGCCGGAGCGTGTCTGCGCGTCCGCACACAGGCTGCGATTGTTCCTGCAGGACGCAGCGCTCCGTTTGCCTCACTTTCTGAATGAAATGTAAATGTGTAAGCGCTCTGGCGGCGTGTGCACAGGCTGTGTATATAAAGCCCTGCAGGAGGAGCACAGACACCGACACTGCTACCTGCGCCCTGACCGTCCACACACCGCTGAAATGCAGCCGCTTGCAGCCAAACTGCCGCTCCTCCACAGGACCCCCTTCTCTGTGGAGGATATTCTGGATCCCGCTAAATTTACAAGGAGAATAATCTGTGCTGAGGACGCAACAACAGGTGAGGATCAAACTTAGTGAGTGCCTAAAAGAGAGAATCCGAACCGGGAGAGAGATAACTTTATAGCTGCTTTATTCTTTTATTCATGTATTCGTCGTTTTCTGTTTCAGGAGCTCCTGCAGCCACAGATGAACCCAGAGAGCCGCAGCATCCTCCGGCAGGTGGGAGCTGCAGCCCGGAGGAGGAGGAGGAGGAGGAGGAGAAGGAGGAGGCTCGGTGTGCGGGGAAGCTGCAGAGGTCGAAGGCAAAGAGCCGACGCATCCGCACCGCGTTCACCCTGGAGCAGCTGCACATCCTGGAGCGCAGCTTCCAGCGGTGCCACTACCTGTCGGTGCTGGAGCGGCACAGCATCGCCTCGGCCCTGCGCCTCTCCGAGACCCAGGTCAAGATCTGGTTCCAGAACAGACGCACCAAGTGGAAGAAGGAGCGGCTGCAGGGGAAGGAGGCGGAGGAGGAGCTCGGGTTCTCCGTGCACCCTGCGGTCTGCTCACCCCTGACCTACAGCCTGTACTGCCCGCAGCGCACTCCGCTGCAGCTGTTTGCGCCACTGCCGCTGGGGCCGTTTCATCATTATTATACATGATGAGTGAGCACATAATGGACCCAGCAGCTCCTCCAGGACACGGTTCTGCAAAATCTATGGCACTATTAGGATCATTCAGGAGGGAGCTGTTAAAGTGCCAACAGGACTGAGCTTACAGATGTTTTAATTGTAATTATAACTTATTTTCATAAACATTTTTATTGAAGTTGTTCTTGTTTGTTCCTTCTTTCCTAAAATATATTGATTTAACCCTGGACCAGAACAGAAAGTCTCTCTGACCCTCACACAGAGCAGGAAAAGAGTAAAAGTTATAATGTAGAGACATCTTATTCTTATATTCCCCCTGTGAGGTAACATTGTGCCAATGGCAGTGACAGTATGGTGTAAAATTATGACCTTTGCTATAATACTCATAATGCACGCAGGGATACTCACCTTGCTTCTTTTCCAAACTGTCAGGAGGCCAGTTAAGAAACAAACTTTAATAATAACCTCAATACCATAACTCATCTTTCTTAAATGATACATTAAATGGCTCGTTACCAAGCAGCAAACTGTGGCTGCGTCATCCTCTGGGAACCACAATCATCTGTACAAAAGAGGGGCCAGAAGTAAATGTAATTAAAGTCAATGTTTCCATGTAGTTCAGATATTTCACAGGACAAGTTTGACCTGCTGGTGTTGCTAGATGAAAAGTTTGAGGATCACAAAAGTCATCAGGATTCATACTCTGTACCGTGAAGGTGTGACTCAAATTTAATGACAATGCATCCAATAGTTCTTTCAGTCTGGATCAAAGTGGACTGACTGTCATTGCCAGAGCTGCACTGTCAGCATGACTAAACATTAGAGAAGTATTACATAAAGAAACAGGAGACCACATGTGTCTACATTAATGTTTCTAAAGCACATGTTGCTTGTTTTCGCCTAAAATCTAATAAGTAACCAGATCAGATTTCAGTTAAAAGAGTTGCACTGTGAAGTAAAACAACCCTTAAACCCTCTTTAATGCCTTCAGATCAGTTTAACTGGTCTCAGATTGAGATTAGTGTGTGTGTGTGTGTGTGTGTGTGTGTGTGTGTGACATAAACAGATGGTCTGGAACGGACATAAACTTCATCCAACACTTTCTTGGCCAAGTTGAACTCATTCTGTACCTGAAGTATTTAAAGACTCACATAAAAGAAAAACTCAAAGTCCTTCTCACACACACACACACACACACACACACACACACAGCACATCTGTATGTAATTTAGCACATACTCTTATCCTCAGATGGCAGGGGGGTTCTGAACTCTCCAAACTGTCCATCCATTAAAGTGAATGAGATAAATCAGTGAGGTATTTAGTTTGAATAAATCAATAAAAAAGTGCTACTCCTCTAAACTGGGGGAAAAACAAAGATGGGGGGGGGGGATAATTGATTTAGCATTGACTATTTTTCCCGGGGCTACAAATTCTGAGATTTCTTTCCTCTGTAAATAAATACATCTTCAAATATCCACAATTCATTATTTAAGAAGAATGAAAAATCACGTTATCATCGGTGTTCTTTCCTGGCTGAAACCACCTCCATCAGTGAGGTATTGGAAACAGATGGAGGCAAAAGAAAACAAAGTACTGGACAAAATAGGAGAGGCTATTGTTACACACACACACACAGGTCTGAGAAAGGAAAAGCCAGAATTATGAGCGTGAGCAGATAAATGAACCAACATGTAATGGAAACAGATTAAATGTTCTCCATGGAGATAAAACGGGGCTGATACAGTCGATGACATTGTGATCATAAAACTAACAGCTCAGCGTCTCAGAGGTTTTAATCCCAGAGGACGCAGCTGTTGTCAGTCTGCTTCACGGACATTCAGTCATCGGTGGTTTGACGATCACTGACTCTGAACCGAAGTTGTTATTGACTCTAGGGTCAGTGCCTGAAATGGGCACTTCTGGTTTGTGTCCATGAGTACTGCCCCCTCTGGTGAGC